TGCTCACCTACCCCTCCCTTGATCCAACAACAGTCAACTGATAGTAAGTAAAGGTTGCTGTTGGGTTAGGGGAAGGGTAGGTGTGCAATTGCTTAGATACTTGCATGAAACCCTTACTTCCTGGGGGTTTGCATTTGTTAAGGAAAATAACATGAGTAACTCTCTTGGTCAAAAGTCCACATTACCATTGACAGTATCGGTATTTAAATTTTAATTCCTAGTTGTACTCACTACAAAGCACAATGAAGGAGTACTTAGGATTTGTGAAGAACCTGGGGGGGGGTTTGGTTTCAGTTTTTCTTACTTTTTTTCTATATATTGTAGTTTTACATTTACTTTTAGGATAATTTTAATCCACTTTGTTCTAGAATGGTGGTTCTTACACTGCAGGTATTGTATAAAATTTTTTGTGTGAACTTGAGAAGTGACTCATTTTTATATTAAGTTAGAAAATTGTGTTATTTATATTTGATTGTAACAATTTTATGAACAGTAATGTTCCCTTGATTAAACACTTCCCTTGAATGAACTCCACCCTTGATCTAACACTACAGATGGAAGCAAAATTACATATGAAGCTGTGCTTGAATGAACATTTCACCCAAGCATAAGAGTGTGATTTTCAGACTGGGATTACATGGAAAAAAGAAACATGTTGCAACTTTGTATTCCACACTTGTGGCTCCAATAGAACATACAGTTTTGATTCTAGCTCAGCTTAATGGTGAGTCATTGGAACTGCCATTATTTTTCTTTTCGAAAACATTACACCTGATTTACCATAATTTTGTTTGCAATTTAAGAAATATTGATTTTGAAATAAACTGTGCCCTTGAATAAACAGCACACTGGAATGATTTTTGCATTGCTATAGATTATTATTAGTGGGATTATAATTTCAATCACAATGATAAATTCTAAGCACAGTGAATTTTGATTTTACTAACAGTTTAAGAACTCTGAAAAATAGGTCTCTCATTCTGTTGTATACCCCATTAACACCAACAAAAATATGTTAAGTTAAATTGGGTTCAACTGAATTAAATCAGAAACAGAGAACTGAAAAATTGATTTTTTTCATGTGGTTCAAATGGTCACAAACTTGTATTTTCAAAGTGCTAAATCAGAAGTTGACAAACATTTCTTTACACAGCTTCAAAGAAGAAAACATTTTTAAACCGTTTTTTTTACCAAAACAGCCTCTAAACATGTTTAAGTTTTGGTGTCAATGGGGTGTTAGACAAGGTTGTACCCTACTTATGTGCGAGTTACATTCTTCAAAACCCAAAGTTAGTTCCCCCTTTCCTAGGTGTGGCTCTTACTGAGAGGCATAGCTTGAATACATCTATTATCTCAGATGTGATGCTTCTTCAAGGGCAGTGCTTAATTGAATAAATACAGTAGTTAAAGGGTTATGTTTTTGAAACCTGTCTGATTCCTTTAGTGATAATTTAATGATAATGTAACTGCCTGAAATGCTCCAAAATTCCAAAAGGGTAATGTAAGTTGCAGGAGCAGATTCTTGACCTATCTGTCTATAGCTTAAGGTGTGTTTAGCTACTAAGGGACCAGATCAATTTGTGTTCAGTTTTAAATGCAAAAAGTAATAACTAGAATAAAACATGCTGTTGTGTACAAAAGAAAATAAAAATGACAGTTAAGAGCTGCAACCTGAGGTAGCTTAACTAGACTTTAGTGAATCATTTAGTAAATAGGGCTGTTGATCAAAAGAACTAGGCTCAATTGAATTGTGTGAGACTTGGTCTTCTGGGTAACTGATTCGAATAAAATAATATTCATTATTTCACTTTGTCATATGTGGTTTCAATCTTTGTCTACTTCCTGTTTTTAGGGCCACCAACATTTCATATTAATAGTCACAGCCTTCTGGTCAGGTCTCATGACTTAATCCTTTAGCTCCGAATATCTAACTGTTAATTCTCCCCTCTAGCTGCTACACATTTCCAGGTGTGGTTTACGACATAAGAAGTCACGCTTTCATCCGTGACAGTCTTGTATTCAGTATCACGCATGGCAGGGGATTGTTTTGCTACATGCACAGCTGAGTTTACATCTATTGTGGGTACACAAATCTCTGTTGAGTTTTCAGTACACCTCACTCACATCCTGGGCATGGAACAATGTCATACATTACACCTTGTAAATTAGTTATACCTGATAAGTTTGAGTGGAGTGTTCTCATAACCCGATTGCTGGATGACCTATGGGTATTGTTGGGAGAAGATACATGTTAATCACATCCGGAAAATAAAAGGTTGATGTAAATGAAAAGTGCAAGGTTTTTGCTTTGGTTGAACTCCTTACTTCGTATTCTTGTGCTAAACTGTGGCCAATCAACATTATCAACTCAGTTGATAAAACCAAAATGTCTTGTTACACTCCCCTACTGATGCAGCACCACAGTTTCTTCAGAAACTTACCCCCCCAAAAAAAAAAATTTTATGATACTCAGCTGAAACAATCAAACCTAAATCATAGTAAAAGGGTGGCCACTGATGGGGTTGTTCAGAATTAAACCATGCACTTCCTCTGAACTAAAATATCTGATTTTTTTTTCAAGAAAATCTGCATTGGTAGAAGAGAGCTGCATCCTAAAGTTTCAAGGAGGCCAACAACTTAAATTTTCGATTATAAGTTTTAGTTTTAATTAAAACAAAATACAGAAATTATTCTAAAACCAAATGAAATTACAAAGTGACCCTAGTTAAATAATTTCTAATATCAATTTTACTTTATTAGATATATGTGGTTGGTTTATGTTACTACCAGCAGAAGGAAAAATGATATGTTAATATATATTTATATATTTAATTTTAAGAAGGAATACAGTAATAAATAAGAGAACTGCAATGTTGTATAGCATCTCCCTATAGTGTTTGTATATGTAGGTTAAGTTATAAACTATGCAGCCTTAACCTTTAACTCCCATGAGTGACCAAGACAATTTCTCCTTACAATATCTATACGATGTCAAGCAGACAAGTAATGAGAATAAAGAAAAATATCAATTAGATTATTAACTGATCCATTATCAAATTCTCTGAACTAACATCATATGAATTGTATAGCAGAAAGTAAGTAGAATTACTAATGGGATCTTGAGAGTGAAAGGGCCAAGAGCTTTCCTTACAGTACCAGGTGAAAAATTTGAGTAACTGTGGTTAGCTATGTGAAATGCAATTGGTAATGATGGTAATTCTTGACAACATTCAAAAGAAAAAAAATACAGTTTTGAGCCAATAAATAAGAACATAACCATAATTCCAATAAGAGCAGATTCCTATTAAGTGAAATTATCCTTTGACCCCAGGAAAGACATCTTCAAGATGCTGGGTGTTCACATTTTTGCTGTGAGTTTGAGAAAGTACAAAGTTCCAAGTGGCTAAGGCTCAAGCAGACCACTATCATGCACATGTCAGCCAATTTAAAGTTATATCACATTGGTATAAATTTTTTTACAAGATATCTTTTCAAAGCTAACAAGTAATTTTCAAAAGAGCGCTAAGAAAATTCTAAAATGAGATCTTTAGTGATCCTGAATATTTCATTATCTATAGGCAATATCTGTTTGTACTTTTACTCATAAGAATCTCTGCACCAATTTGTGTTTTCCTTAAAACAATGCATCTCCTATGCCCCACTTCTGAATTTTAACATGGAATGAAGAATGATAGCCCTCTAGTTTAACTGAACAAACATGCGTAAATACAAAAAAAAAATGTTCACAAGTATTCTCGTCAATCAGTGGTATTGACCCTTTAACTCCCAGATCAAATTTGTCATCCTCCTTGCTGCCAACCATACAATTTTTATGTTAGTTCAGAGAATTTTAGCATTAGGTCAACTAATTATTCCCAAATTGATATTTTTCTTTATTCTCATCACTTATCTACTTGATATTGTATTGATATTGCAAGGAGAAATTCTGTTTTGGTCAATCATGAGAGTTAAAGAGTAAATGATATGAGAATATGAGAAATTCTACTTGTTTTCCATAACAGCATTTTTGGTAGAGTATATGTGAAATGCCTGCAGCATATTTGCCCCCTTAAATCTAATACTCACTCCTTAAATGTGTCTGTTTATGAAATATTGATAACTTAAACCCTTTCATGATATAAATAACATTCCTGGCAAGCTCACATCTCCTTAATTTCTTTTTACATTTAAATTTAAACAAAATCTTTTAGAACTCTCCCAAACTTAACAATATGCCAAAACAAATTACCAAAAACTAAATTTTTAACTAATAAATATTTTTGTTAATGCCTATAATAAAACTGGAGTAAATTTTTAAACATAACTATATCCCACCAGTTAAAAGATCAGTGTTCAAATCTGTTCCAATTTGTCTCTTCAGCCTCTACATTAAATCTTGACCCTTTCATTCCAAAGGTCTGAAAACTAACTCACTTGACTGTAAATCCTTACAGTTCATTTTTAGTAGTGCTGAGAATATGCTGTAACATGGACAAAACTCTATTAATAACAGAGCACTTGGTAGGTGACTAACTCTAGTCTTTGGATGAATTGTACAACTTTGATATTACAGAGCACCTTTAAAATTGCTGGGTAATTAACCCAGCAACTCTGCTTTGACTTTTCAATGTTATGTTCCCCAGTTGATGATTTTGTTAATTCTCTTAACACATGTGAGTTAAATTTTCTCTCATAAAAAGGAGTGAAAAGGTTAATCACTAGATTTAAATAGCATGTAATCCTGAACAGCATATTGCCAACATCCCATTATTAACTAAAAAAATGTATCTTCACCTGGTATGCTCTAGTTGGTAACTAGGAAAACATATTAGAACCCACAGTTCTAAATGTTTACCATCTTTAGTATTATAGAGATAACTTGACTCATTTTGATAGCTTTTAATTTATGGTACCTGCACTTACTCTAAACAATAGTCTCTGTATCACCAGCATCAAGGAGACATCTTTCAACAGAATGCAAGTTCTCACTGCTTGAAGCACAGCCAGAGTCTTTCTTGTCTTTGCAGGATACTGAAACTCCATCTTTGGCTGCTTTCCTCCAACTGTGACCATCAGTATGAATAGGCTGCATTTCCCATGTTTCATTTTCATCAGCTGCCTCATCCCCATTAAGTAAGCTTTGTCTTTCCTCCTCCTGACTGGAGATGGAGGATGAAGGTGCCTCCTCAGTTGATAGGTTTGACCTGTTATCATCTTGAATTGTGCTGTGAGGAATGTTACCAATATCCTTTGCTTCCATGCCATTCATATTTGTCTTTCCTGTTTCATGATCACAGCCCTGGGAGGAAGTTTTTGGATTTGATGAATGTCTTTCATTCTGAGCTGGTTGATCATCACTTTCTACAAAATGACTCAACATTGCTTGCATTTCAGAGGCAAAACTACTGCCTAGATCCTCGTAGGACATCTTTAAGCAATCCATCTCTGTTTCAGCACCATCAAGATTAATGGAGGAGTTCTCATCAAACTCATTCCCTAAGTCATTCAGTCCATCTTCCATCTGCTCTATACCACCTCCTGCTTTAGAGGTCAACTTACTTCTCCCTGTATCAATTTTAGCATTAGTTTCTTCCCCTGTAGAAGTTTCACAGAGAGAGACACTCTCTGCTACTCCAGCCAGGGGAAGGATTTCCTCATAGGAGGATCCTTCACACATTACAATCTCTGGGACTGGCAATGTATTGTTGTCTACAACTTCAAATGTCTCTTTGCTGTTTGTTTCAGGAATACTTGAACTAGCAGCAAACACCAAGTTCATTTCTTTCTCCTGCTTTCGCTTTTCAATGTGACGTTTTGCACAGGGCACCATACTCGCCAAAATCATGCAAATGACAAGAAAAGCTAACACTGAAAGAACAACCACAGTCAACAGGCTGTCATCCTCATCCTCACCATCTTGTTTGCCTCTTGCTGCAGCATGCATTTCTCCAATTATGGTAGTTCCAGAAAAGCCAAATGTACCATTTAAAGCCATTGAGGTTGATAAGCTTACAAATGTTGGTGTTAACTCTGCAAGATAACCACTTGCAGGAAACAATGCATGCTGTGTGGTTAAATATGGTGTGCGAGTGAGGGCCATATGGGACATAGATGACCGCGATGATGTTGGCATGACAACAGATGAAGAAATTTCAGAACAATATGCTGACGGTTCAGCAGCTTGATACCTGATATGAAATCCTGTCCAAGCTATTGCATCATCACTGTGGAATTTCAGGCGAAGGGTATTCCCTGAGCTACAGATAACTGAAGGGGGTGGATTGCTATTGCAGAACTTTCCAATGATTGTTGCATTCGAATCAGTGCCATTCCATATTGTCAGATGATCATGGGGGCATCTCTGCCTATTTAGGTCTCCCTCGACTTTAAAATCCAAAAAAAGTAATTTCACAGATTTTCCTTCCGGCACAGAGATGGTCCATGTACATTTAGAATTGTGAAAATATTCTTTAGGAAAATTAGGTGACTTGACATCACCATTACTTCCTTGTAATTGTTCGTCGCAACCTGGGAAATACACTGCATAAAAGCCAACCTGAGGATCTGAGGAATTAGACTTGTATCGTACCCATAACCTACCACTGTTAGAACTGACTGGGGGAGGAAGGCTGCTTTCGTAACCACAATACTCGACCAATAAGGGTGCAGTTGCATAAGGCATTCCACCATCTCTGAACTCCACTAATCCATTACTACAAGGAATGTTGAAATTAATAAAATCAAAATATATTTGTGAAGTGTTTGGTAAGATCACCGACCACAGACAATCTTGATCTTCCGTCGGCGTACCCTCTGTCACGATGTTTCCAGGTTCTTGGGCCAAAGCGCCGCCACAACCGAACGAACAACCATACACTTCTAGCCTCATGCAAACGAAGGAAAAGTAACTGGATGGGTACACGCGTAGAAAACGTGCGGTGATTTCCGGTGTAAGTACATTAAGCACAGTACCGTTTCGTTTTTTATTCCCAAATAAAATTGTAGCATTGTCGCTGTTTTTATAAAGCTGCCAAGAAACACCGTCCATACTATACTTCAGTTGATATTTGCTAACTCTTCCCATTCGAAGAGACATTAATTCCACTGGAGGGTAGAAACCTTGTGTTGCGATTGCAGATATCGTCGTAATTCTCTTCATGTCGATTTGAAGGTACAAAGGTTCCAATAGGCTATCGGGATAATCAGAACACCAAGCAGATTTCCCGTTCAATCTGGCCGACGAGGCAGGGAAATCTTTGTGCGAGTCCAGAGCCGTCACGAACGAATCTTGTATTCGACCACTCTCCATGCCAAGGGGAATATTACAATCGTCGCAACCCGAGGTACGTCTCGTTTCTCCTACGCAATCGGCTCCGCCATTTTTCGGTTTTGGGTTTGTGCAATCTCTTTCTTTGTGTCGAAATGGCAGCAAATTGCTATCCGATGGGATTTTGCAAGAACTCCAAGCTGACCAAGTGCTCCAGTTTCCGTCAATAGGTTTTGGTTTATCCCCCCAATTTGGCCAAGGCCATACACAAACACTTAGATGTACAAAAACAGATAAAATCACGAACAACTGTACTTCATGTCGCACACACATGGCGATCGTAATCCTTCAACAAAATTCAAATGAAGTCCACTCTACTGACCTTGACGATTTAACTAAAGATTTGAACTAAAATCCTTAAGGAATGATAAAAGGTAATCGGATAAACACTGAGGTTCCCTTCCGCGCTCCAATCGTTGTTTACCAATGTTGGTGTTTCTGCGAATACGAAAACGTGTACAATATAAAGGCCAATATCTTAGACAATGGGTCCGAGAAGCCGAAGTACAAACATTATGGGATTGACAGTAAGAATTGTTGTGCTCGTTGCAAACATCTAGTCGCGGCGTAGATGTGTTATTTCCAGAAATAGAAGGTTAGGGCGGAGTTTGCGCTAGATGGCCAATACTGAAACGGGCTTAATGACAACAGATATCAATGTCGCTATATTGTGACGAGTCGTTCATAATTCAACAACCGGGTAAACAAAGTCAGGTTGAAAAGTTTTGTGCCACACAAGCATTTCACACCAGGTTTACTGTAATCGTGGCCATTATATTGATAGGCCATGCCTTCAGAAAAAGTTTTCTATCTGCTACAATCTTGTTTCAGTTTTGTTTCGGTTTTACCTCAGGACAGGCGAAATCCTGCTGTGAGAAGAATAAATTTCGCAACTAATTGACAACTGACAAAACTTAAAAAGAGTAACCTTCACAAGATTTTTTCCAAGTTTCCTATATTTTGGGTTTCGTAGAATTTTGTAAACGTGTTTCAGAAAGCCATATGGTCTGTTTGTTTGTTTGTCTGCTAATACGTATCACAAAGACAAGTGATCCGAACTTCCGGTTTTAATCCAACTCATTTCCGCTTTGCAGCCAAGTTGAGCCAATCACTTCATACCCAGGACACATGGCGCGATCTTAAAGATGGCGGACATGGCAAAACGAAGATTTATCTGAAATAATGAGCTTAATGGGCAAAGATTACAGAAGAATCTCGGGTTTAGCGAAGCCTCTTGTGGAATGCAAAACAGAGGTAAGAGTTTACTAGGCACATTGCGTTCACTACGCCTAAGAAGTACGTGTAGTTAACACAAGTAAGTACGTTTTAACAATGTAGTCTTGTTCAAAATTGCACAAGACTTAGTTATGAAATGCCGGTACATGTAGCTGCAAGGGGTTGGAACCACGGACTGTTCCAGTTTATACCCACATTTCTTTTTCTGAGCATTGCTCGTATCAATCTAAACCGTGACAAATTACCTAATAGGAAAGGTATTTGAAACCCAGAATAATAAAATGACATCGAAGGCATATGTGAAGTTTGGTTTGTTTATTTCTAATTTAAAGCTTACACAATACTACGGATTTACGTATGTTTTTCTCCACGGAAAAATAGCGATTACTTGCAGTTGCTGCGTTAAATGAGTTTTTCAGGACAAATTTATCATCAGGTTCTTTTTTATTACTTTTTGCCTTGTTTTGCTTTGTTTTGTTTCGATTTGCCTTCCAGCATAATGCAACTTATGATTAAATCAACTAAGTGTAGAATGGATACTTTGGGTTACCACTAAGGTGAAGCAAACAAAAGTTAGGTGAAAGTCATATTTCTTTTTGATGACAGCGTAGCAAGTGATCTAAGTGATAAAGGTGTGATAAAAGTGTCCCTTAAGATCAGCCACATTACAGCTGTTAAAGCACTATGGGAAGATTTGTTTGTTGCTGCACTTTGGGATCACAGAGAGTAACTTAACTGTTCAATAAGTGTCTTCTTCTGAATTTGGCAAAGAGTACAATTTTGCTCCCTAATGTGACTTACTTAAAAAATAAAAAAGGAAACTTTAATAAATAAATTAAAAGCACTGTTGCTGCAAAAAATCACATTGACATAACTTATTGAAAACTCATAATTTTTTTCTTTCCATTGCATTTTCATGAAGCTCTTTTGTTTTCAAGTCTGTTACTTTCATCAATCTTTTAATTAGCTGTCAGAGGTTTATGTAATAAATTATATCACAGCTTCCCACTTTTCACACCAAATGGAGGCTGTTATGTTTATTATCCCTCAATATTTTTCAACATGCGGGAAAATTGTTTATGAACAGCTTACTGTTGATGGTATGGGAAGTTTACTTTTCAGTGTTTTCTGAAATGATTTTATGGACAAAAGAAACATGTTACTTCTTCTATAACAACCACACAATGCTTTTCATCTTTAATTAAATCCTAAACACAGAGTTTTTCCATATTGGATGTAAGTTTGGAAAATAGGGGAATATCACTTCAGGTACAGCGTTGGATTTCCCCAGTTTTCTGTCATGTAATGGGTTTAGACCAGTTGCCTACTAGCAAATAAATTTGTTGGATTATAATGGAATTTATTGATCGTGAGTAATTTATCGTAAAAGTGAGGTTGTGGATGTATTTTTAGTATAATGTGTGATGTTGTGAT